TGCATGCGTGCGCATGTGTGTACACGTGCGTGCACAGTGCGTGTGGGTGCGCGCGCGCGTTGTGTTAATTGTACGTTCAGTATTTTAAAACAAAGTAAAAACTATAGCATTATAAATGATTTTAAACAATTATATATTAAATCATATCAAATTTAATAAATTATAATGTAATATTAATAAATTATGATGTAGTATTGATAAATAATATCATATATAGAATAGAATAGAATTTTCAATCATAGTAAATTAATAGAAAGATTGATATTAAAAAAAATATATAATAAGCACTTTCTCTTTTGTTGATGTCTATCTTTTTTTTCTTTTTTTTTTGTAAATATTTTAATCTCTAGATCTTTTTATTCCTGCAATAAAATAAAAATTATTTTATATACCTGTATGTCTGGTATGCTCGCTGCTTCTTCGGAAAAGTGTCGTCTGTCTGGTTTAGGACTGTGCTGATGTGACAACTTAAAAGAGAATTTCCTGCGTCTCGAAGGACTAGCAGGTGTTCGAGGAGATTCTGGCGGATGTTCAAGATCTGTCATGGAACGTGCTGTCAATTCCTGTGCCATAGCAATAGCTGAGTAGAGAGTTTTCTGATCGGCAGCCGAAATAGGCTTCACCTACACAAGATAAATATTTATCATTTCTGCTATGTAAATAATATATTAACATTTCCGCGATTTTCTTTTTTACATTCTTTTACAAACATCTTACATAAATGTATTATATTAAAAACATTTAGAAACATAATATATAATATTTTCATTGTCAATTCTGTAAAATGTTAATAAAATATAAAATATAAATATTCTGTAAAATGTTAATAAAATATAAAATGTTCTGTTTTAAAAATTGTTTTAATTGTTTATAATAATACATTATATAAATATTAAAAGATTAAAATATTAAAGGATATCAAAATAAGCAGGAAATAATAACAAAAAAGAAAAAATAACATTAGATAATATAAATATATAATGTATATAAATGTATATAAATATATAATGTATATAAATGTATATAAATATATAATCAAAATAAAAAATTACTGTACATTTATTGGACTCACGGTGGCTTGTTTCTTCTTGTTACATTGTTTTACTTGAATTTCTTTCAGTTCATTTCTCACATTACTTGATTCATGTTCAGTGGATAAAGAATGGCTAGGTGGTGGAGGAGGAGGAGGAGAAGAACCTAATAAAAGCAAAAAATATGAAGTAAAAAAAAATATGTAATAATTCATCATAATCACGTAAAATGTTTAAATAACCAATTTTTTCCAAAAAATATTGTACATTTATTTAGTCTTACAGGATTGATATAGCAGGAAAAAAATACTTTTAAATTAGCTTTTTAAGGATACACTTCAAAATAATTCTTATTTATCTTTAAAATAAACTATTTATTTTTTGGTATATGTTCTTTTATAGGTTCCAAAAGGCTCAACTAATAATCTAACGTGATTACATGATTATATAAATAAAAAAATGTTTTAATATTATAACTACAAAAATTAAAAGATCTGCTTACATATTGGCTTCTAAATATTCTTTAACTTAAAAAAATAAAGTAAACAAATAAAACTTAAACTTTGATAATAATTTTACTATTTGAATAGAATTATATATATTATCAACTCAGATAACTAAGCGTGATAGCATATTAAGCAAACTGCATTGCATATGGTAATGCATTACATGTGGTATTACATATTTGCCGTACATTTGCTGATATCAAAATAGGACACATTATAAATGCAGCAATATGATTGCTTATATACACTTATATGTAATTATACATACAGTTGATGAAATTTTAGAGCAAAACATCGGCAATAGTAATATGTTATACATCAAGTTAGAGCTTCATTTTTATTTATAAAAAAAACCATTGTACATACACATGCACATATATATGTATATAGTATTTTAAATAAAAAAAAATATCTGCAATATGAAATATCTGATCTGCAATATAAAAAATATGTTAATCAACAAATCTATTTTTCTCTTTTATCTATTAATTAAAAATATTACATCAAGAATATTTAATCTAAGTCGTAAATATCGTGTTATAAACAAAATAACAATCAATAATTATGTACATAACAATTTTTAATAATAATATTAATGTATTATCTTTCTAATAATAATATTTTTAAATAATTTAAAATACTTGGCTAGCTTATTATGACCAACTGAACTGAATATCAGAATCAAGAAAATATATAAAAATCTTATAAAACATATTAAAATGAAATTAATAAAACATTATTTAATATTAATAGAATAGATTTGTATTTTACAATATATCAAAAATTCTCTTTTTATTTCGATAATCAATAAATGTATATTTAAAATTAAGTCGTGCCTAATCAAAAATAAAGTGTAATTTAATTCTAACTATATTATTATTTATTCATTACTTTAACAAAAAAGAAGTTTTCAGTGTTTTACAAGTCTATTCTTTTATCATAAATGTTATTTTATTGAAAAATGTTATGTTGATTAACGCATTTAATACAATGCGAGATATTATAAAATATTTTTTATAATCTATCTATTCTTTTTCTCTTTACCTAATGATCTGAACATTTGATCCATTTCTGCTAAAAGACTTGGTCCAAAATCAAAATTTAAGGCTTTATCAAATCTTAACGGACTTTCTTGATTTTCTTCATCACTGATTTCATGATATTCATGGTCTGCTCCATCAGTGTTGCTATCTATGTTAGACGTTATGATTTGCTTATTTGCATTGCTGCTTGTAGTTACATGACATACTTCTGAATTCATATCAGACCATAAGTTTCCTAAATAAATATATAATACAACTAATAAACATATATTATAAACAATATACATAAATTATTTCAAAATAGGACAAATTTAATTATCAAAATTAAATACAATATTTAATATTTCATTTTATATGAGTTATTTCCATATTTATATATACAAATTACATCTATCTTGTAATATTACTCATAAATATTCTATGTTCTTATAAATAATAATAATAATAATAATAATAATAACAATCTTTATGTGAATATGCATAATTTTAGAAAATATGTTAGTGTTATAAAAAGGTTATCATAATAAAAGCTAAGTACGTACCATGTTTGCTTTGAGATTCTTGTTGTGTACTTCTACTGTCTTTTGTTGATTCCCTATTCATATCTATATTTCTTGTATTCTGATTTAAAATTTGACTAGAATTATCAGTTGCATCCTCCTGCGGTTTATACGGTGTCACTACCTGACGAGGCAGATGTGGATACTTTCCACCAAGAAAACTGATATCACCGAAATATGCTCCATCTAGACCTACGTGACCGGTATGCTTAAGATCACCTTGAGGTGAAGATATCATGTCTGTACGAATTTTTCTGCGCTGTGAGGAGAAAGCGTTTTTACCATCTCCCCGTGTAAATTCGCCAGGTTTGTTACTAGGTAGATTAGAACCAAGATATGCGATTGTGTGAGCTGGATTGAAGAAACCTGTTTTGCCATTATTTAAAACACCTTTCCATAAAGTATTGCTGCTACCTTTATCCAGAACTGTAATTATATCGCTTTGTCTATAAATGAGTTGACTGGATTCAGTACTATCTTGAACTGCTTGCACCTGTTCTGGTTTTAGATCGGGTAATAAATTAATCAATTCGGAAAATTTGGGCCTTTTTGAAGGTTCATGTTGCCAACATTGTTGCATCAAAGAAAAGTAATCCTTTGGACAGCATTCAGGTTGTTCCAGTCTTTGAAAATTAGGCTCGTCTATTGCTTCGAGAATTTGATGACCGGTCAATGCTGCCCAGGGTTGAAACCCATAACTGAACATTTCATATAACGTTACTCCATATGCCCAAACATCACTTGCTGATGTAAATTTCAAGTAAGATATACATTCAGGTGCGCACCATGCAATGGGCAACTTCAAATTGACATTGAAATTTGTTTGATAATAATCCTTGCCTACTCCCAGCGCGCGTGATAATCCGAAATCCGATATTTTAACTTTATTTTTTGAAAATACGAGAATATTTCTGGCAGCAAGATCGCGATGTATCAATCTTTTTGCTTCCAGATATTGCATTCCATCAGCAATCTGTATAGCAAAATCACATAGTGATAAGACCGGAAAACTCGTACGCAGACTAGGTTCTTTAAGACATTCCAGCAATGAGCGTAATGGTGCCAACTCTGTAACGAGCATTAACGAATTTGTATCGAGTACGACGCCATATAGTCGCACGATGTGTTCATGATCAATTGCGTGCATTATCGCGGCCTCTTTCAAGAACTCTATGGGATTGTTCTGCATTCTTTCACGCGATAAACATTTAATTGCAACCTGTATTCTCTCTCCATCGTTCGTCCATATTCCTTGCTGTACGACTCCAAATTCACCAGTACCAAGTTCTTTGTTTACAATAATTGCATCAGCCGGAATCATATGTTTATTGGGAACGCGAATTGACGGTTTATCTTGTCTCTCTTCTGGTAACATACCCAATACACCAGAAGATTGTTCTTCGCGTTTTGTGGTAGTATGTAGCAACATTTTCTTAAATTTAGATAAATAATTCTGAGGAAAATGTTTCTGGAAATATTTTTTTAAACGGCGCATCTCTGGCTTGCTCATCCCTATTGCACTCAAATCTTCTTCTGTTACGTATTTCAATTGCGCTGTTGTTTGCACCTTTAAGTCTCCTAATTAAAAATAGTTTTCTTTTATTAAATATCTATTACCCCAATACACAAATATAAACATTATATAAATGTTTTAGGACTGTTGAAATCTTTAATTTTTTAATATTTGTAAAACATGCCAATGTTCACTTATTCCAACGTGCTCACTGGTCGTAAACTATTTATAATAAATAAATTTATGAAATGTTTATAAAGAACATGCACGCAAAGTTCTTGTTATAATAGTCAAGCGTTTTGCATATTAATGCCACGTTGAGTTTGAAAGATGATTAAAAAAATCTTGGTACATGAGAAATTTTAAACTCGATTTTTTCACGAATGCTTAAGAGCTGTATCAAATAATTTTACTATCAGATTGATATTATTCATATAAATTTTATATTGAAAAATTACAGTGCAAAAAAAGGAATAGTACGTGCGTAACGTGCAGCTGTAATGTTTAAAATATAAAAAAAATAGAGATTTTATATTTCAAAAATTAAAAATATTGACTTTCATAAAAATTATCCAAGATTAATAGAATTATTAAAAATAATATTTATTTAAGTTAGTATAGTCATCTACTGAAATTAGGCACTTGTTTAAACTTCAAGTCTAATCAATTTATCCAAAATAAAATAATAATACTGAATAATCCAAATTATCATAAAAAAATATAAGAATATTTATTTCTAACAAAAAATATTTTCTCTTAATATTAATCAAGTGTCACTTGAAGTATAAAAATAAAATTTAGAAAAGAATTCATCATTACAATACTGTTTCATTTTGCACATTTGGAAGTATCCATAATAAAACAAATTCACAATAAAAAATAAGATTATTCCATTAAAAAATTTTTGTTAAGGCCATTCCTAGTTTAGATTGGAAATTGACATTAACATTATATAAGCTTTTCTAGAAATCTTTATATAAAACATTTTTCAACGAAAGCCTTGCGATTCAATAAATTTTAATATAAAAATTAAAATAGATTATCTTGTATATAAATGCATACTGTTAACACTTTAACACTATTTAAAACTATAACAAAATATAAAACTGAATAAAAATATATAATACCTCGAATGCCGGAATAATATTGTTGTAACTCGGCTTCCAAAAGAAATTCATAAAGACCAGGTCCATTATTGCGAGACATTCCCTCCTGTATATCTAAAATTAAAATAAATCTAAATATTTGTATTCTGTATATACATGCACGCTTGCATACGTATATAAGTGCATATTCTTAAAGATATAAAAAATTGAAGCATTACAATTAATATTCGCACAATTGAACAAGATACAAATTTTTTATCTTCTAGCAACCTTGATAGTATTATATATTATGTGTGCGCGCGTGCGTTTAGGCATTGCCACCCAAGATCAAACTGGTAAGATCATAACTGGTGAGACAAATAAATCTTTTTAATCCTTACAAGTTTTATCTGAAACATTTCTTCTAAAAACGTCAACGTTCTGTAAATCCAGAATTCTGACCTTTATTGAACTGTATATATATATATATATATATGTATTTATATATTTACATGTTTAAATATACATATTCGCATTGTAATATATACAGAATGTGGAAAATATCAGAACTTTTGAATATATAAAAATATCTTAGAAGAATGTTTTCAGATAAAAATTATAAGCTTTCGAGATCACAGTATAAACAATATAGATATTCCACGTAAAAATAAATAATCGCGCAGAATTAATTATATTACAAACTTAATACTAAACTAACAAAGTTAATAGTTAAATAAATTTCTCACCCATTTTACACTGTATTAGAGACGTACAAGAAGATTTTGCTTCTTCTTGAAATGATTCACAAAACACAATTGCTCTTGTCCTTTCAGAAGAGTATGATTTGTTCCGTTTTCTCTCTCAGTGCATCATTTTGCCTTGAATTATCATTATATGTTTGTTATTATAAGAATCTTTTATGGCTCCATTCCTAGTACACAAATGCTTCAGATTCTTTTAATTTAAAATAATAAAATCATTTTAATGTTTTATATTGATATAAATAGAAAAAAAAATATATTCCAGTGCCTTCTATTATATGAGACAAATGGATATGAGACAAATGGATATGATGAATTTATTTGACAGCTGATACATATCATAATAATATCGTTATTGAATTAATATTTTATGATATGTTACAATATTAATTATGTAATAAACAAATAAGTTCCAAAAATTCGATTTCTTAATAAAAACCATTGCATATTTCTATGATAACTTTGATGTTGTTAACTCATCGAGTCTCGTGAGAGCGCGCGCGCGCGCGCGCG